AGCGTATGCAGCAAGCTCGGGTAAGACACATCGGCAAGTAATGACATCGGCTCAAATCAAGGATCCGGCAACAGGGTAACAAAGACATTGGCTAGGGAGGACAACGCTTGACTAAGCTGTGCCACACCTTGGCCGGGGTGTGCCACATCTTGGCCTAGGCCATACCTGCCGGCGGACAAGGTTCACTAAGTACAAGACATCTCGGCAATAAATGCCCGAGGTGAAGGTGGGGGTTGACCAAGATCTCAAAACAGTTCTGAGTACAAAGGTTCAAAGGCGAACTAAGCTCAAGATGACCTCGGCCACACAAACACCGAACAAGGAACAAAACCACGCAAGCAATGCAAACAAACAAGGTAAGCAAATCCTTCCAATTAACGTAACAAGGCAAGATCATGCAGGAATGTATGCAAGTATGACAAGAGTAAGGTGAGGGTTGTTACAATATTTAGCCACCACCACCTTCCTCCACAACCGCCCCCTTTCCTTCACAAACCGCCACAACCCTAAAAGAGTCAAATTAAACAATACCAAACTTTGAACCCCAACCCCCTTATAGGCTTAGGAACACAAATTCGATCCCAATGCATAACTTATTGTTTCTGCTGGCTGCATTGCTGCTCAAAATTTTGCACCAGCTGATATTGTATAATACAAAGCAAAGTTTCCGTACATTCTGACTTGGAAGATGTTGTTAACTGGCACGACCTTGTCTAAACATGCTTGTGTTTCCTACGCGTGTATTCTATTCTTGTATATGATTTGTTTGGAATTGCTTGTTTCTAGAAACATGTAAAAGTCGAGGATGCTAATTTGAAACGGGCTCGTGAAGACCTCCAGAACAAAGTTGATTTTCTGCGAAAGCAAGCTGATGTCAGTTCCAATTTTCTTGGATTGCTTTATTCCTTTTGCATGAATCTCTAATAATGCGTCTCTTATGTCTATAATTTTTGTCTTGCTTTTTATGTTTCAGAGCTATGATGACAAGGGGCCTGTTATAGATGCTGTTGTATGGCATGATGGAGAGCTATGGAGGGTTGCTCTTGACACACAAAGTCTTGAGGATGATCTTGAGCGGGGGAAACTTGCTGAATTTGTCCTCCTAACTAATTATAGGTTTGTATGATATGCTAGAGACAATGCTATACAACTGAAGTGTTTTAACTTTAGTCTGAGTTAGGGCAGTAGGATGATTTAGTAATTTACACTGATGAATAAAGAACTGCAATTTGCCTTCATTTGGTACAGTTTTGATTGAGATTGAGTATTTGTGTTTATCTGTTGTACTTATTCAGTTACTGGAAAGGAAAACTTGAATAATGAGTATCTATCATTGAGCCAAACAATAACAATAAAGTAAAAGGGTAAAATAAAAAATGATGCAGAGCATGCAATGACAAACTATGTTACACGGACTCTTCAAAATAAATTAAATATCTGTGTTGGACACCCGACATTTGAATAAGGGTATGTGATATGTGTTGGATATTTTTCAATAGATAATTCTTATATAATTGTATATAACACTATTATTATATGTACATATTGTTGTATAATTGTTATAAATGCCTTTTTGACACTGTAAGCTACATATAACACCATTTTATCTCACATAATTCATTAATTTATAAAAATATGGCATTTTTTTTTACTGAATCCGGTACCCTTAAATTCATAGTTTGATGTGTCCAACCTCTAGATATATACCCACGCCCGACACCCATATCTGAGTCCATGTAACATAGATGACAAATAAGGGCAAGGGCAGATTGGAAATTTTGCATGGTTTCTATTTGGAACCTTGTTTATCAAATTTTGGTATAATTTGAGTCTTATTTTATGTTTATGTAGTTTAGTTGGCTGCTAGCATATTCTTGTTTGTGTTGGTCAAGTTTTGATCTTAGAAGAATTTTGGTAATTTTTAGATTTGCTGGTTGGAGAATGGGTTTATGGGACGTGTTGCAGTGCAAGTTGTATTTAGGGTCTTATATATGATTTTTATTAGTTTTAGAATTATAGTAACATTATAACATAGCATTTCTGTTCAAGAGAGAGTTGGATTTTGAGAATGTGGGATTTTTTTTTTTTTAAATGTGTGTGATGTGTTACGCAGACTTTTGTTAGGGGGTGATTCTTAAGGAATTCTAGTTGGAATTTCTAGCTTATTGTTCTTGATGAAACCAAAATTAGAGAATGGATATCATTAGAGAGTGAAAGTCCCAAATTGGGATTTTAGAGCACTAAGCTTTGAATTTACAACCTTAAAATGTCATAAACTGACTCCTAAAGGCAAACTAAGCCTTCTAAACACATATCCACCACTCTAAATCGTGTTACATCAGTTTCTTCTTATTCGACAATTGTCATTTGTGTTTTATTGTTCACAGCTCTAGAATAGCTTCAATTTCAGCACCAAAAACCTACTAGATGAAATCTAAATTAAGTCTATCTCCTTTCTACACCCATTGGCCCCCAATTCCCTGCCACAATATTTTACAAGGTGGTTGTCCAGAATCTTTAATCAGTCAATCTTTTATAATCCGGCAACCAAACAATTAGGAAACCATGCCCAGTTGTTACCCATCTAGCAACCCAGGAAGCATCCTCTATCTTATGGAACTCCAATCCTAAAGGCTTCACTAGCCCTAATGCCGCCACAACCCAACTGTGGGCAGCATTATCTTCACCCTATGCTACATCAATAAATAAATACATCGAGGCATGTAATGGCCTGACCCTAATTCATGAAACTGAATGAATAGTGGGCACTCCATGAAGTGCTTCTTGTATATCTGCATTCTGCACCATTTTTGAACAAAACTATCAGTGGGCACTCCATGAAATGCTTCTTGTATATCTGCTCCATTTTTTAACAAAACTATCTATCTTTGTATTTCCCCATTCTCGTTGATATGCAGTTTGTAACCCTTTTATAAATTCTCTCTAATTTAATAATGATGCACGAGTGATGCAGTACGCAGTAGAAGAAAGAGAGGGAAATACTGGAAGAAGAGGGCCACAAGCCTTAACACAAGGCCACAACCTAGAACACCCTCAATTCATTAATTCCAAGCTAAGATTACTATGCAAATACCTAATATTTATAGGCTAGAGAACCTAATCAAAATAGGAAACTAAATCATAATCTAGAGCGTTAATAAAACTCAATCAACTTGGTGAGCTAAATCCTAGTATAATAGGAAGCAAATATTAATAAAGCTCTTAACCAAAATAAGACTCTTAATTAAACTAAAATTAAATAAGAAAATAAAAAAAATAAAAAAATAATAAATACTTAAGACAAATTTCCATGCACGCATGTTCTACGTCATTCTCCCTAATTGAGAAAAAGAACTCATTCTCGAGTTCTCTGTTAAGTATTGAACTCATCCACCCCAAAGAATCAAGTACTTTGAATATGGGACTTGCTTTGTTGTCTTCCTATGCCAACTACTTTTGGCACCCAATGTGTTGACCAGATCAACTAAACTCTAAATACACAAGATTTCTTCAATACCAATCAAATCAATTTATGATGATCAAGTAGTTAGTGGAGAATCAGTAGGATCTGACCAGTTGAGTTCATTTGTAGGTTCAAGAGGCTCTTCTTTCGATAGGGTATTATATGTGTGGGAACAACTTCTTGGATTTCCAAATTCTCTGCTGGGTCAACAGGTTCCACGTGGTCCTTACTAGCACACTGAGGAGGTTTAGAAGTATTTTCTAAAACAAAATTTATCCAAAAGATGATTTTGTCTTATCCAAAGTTGATCGTGTCTGTGCCAAGGAGGCCTTAAGTCCTTGTACAGTTTGATGCAAGGCATCAAATTTTGAGTAAATCTTTTCGTTGGTGAACATGGTTAATGGGGTAAAAGGATTTTTTTATATTTTATTTTAATGGGTACGTGAGTGTGGCTGTGTTGTTTTGCAGGTTGTGAGGATGATTAGGGCTGAAATTTAGTGAGGTTGTTGGCCTGTTTTAATGTGGATTCCGGGTCAAGCTTCACTTAATATGAATTGTGGGCTGAGAGGGCTGGCCTGGTTATTGTGTGACTTTGGACTGGTCTGGCTTCTATGGTATTCTAGTGTGCTGGGTTTCGGCCAAATATATGGTTTGCTAAGACTTGGGTTTGAGGTTTTGGGTTGTGGGTTGAAGGGTTGGGTAACAGGTTAAACAATTACCATTTTGGTTGTCTTCTCAAAAGATTGAAGTTGGTGATCGATGAGATGGTGAGTGACGGCGAGGGTTGATCAAGACGACAACGATGTCTACATACGAGTGAATCTCAACTAGATAGCTTGATTGGTCGACAATTGAGAGAGGGAATCTGGGTCATCTTCCTCAAGGTTCTCGATCGAGCCCTAGGGTTTGGTAACATGCAAGGCTATAAGGGAACACTTTTGGGAACTTTGACGAGGGTATAAGGATACTTCGACGAGTGGTTGGTGACGGCAAAGTGGCTTGTAGTTGTCAATGGCAACAATTAGTGATAGAATTTTTTATTTTTATTTTTGTTTATTCATTTATTTTTGGGTTCGATCAACTAGGACGTTTCAAGAAGAAGGCAACCTAGCCGATTAAACAAAAAGACAGATCAAAGTTGAGTTTTGGTACCAAAATGATGCAGTATGTAGTAGAAGAGAGAGGGAAATAGAAAGATATGAAAGCAGAAGGGGAAGGAGAGGGACACAACCCTAACACAAGGCCATAGCCTAGAACACTCTCAATTCATTAATTCCAAGCTAAAGATTACAATGCAAATACCTACCTTGTATCTAGGTTGTCATTGTCCATGAAATTTTTGTTTATCTTAATTCCTCAGGACCTATCTTGCTATGACTGTTGTCTGTTCTTGTGCTGTACATTCTGAGTTTGTACTCCTTCAATTTATTTCTGCAACATCTCTTTCACAGTTTGATGAAGACAAGGGAAAAGGTTGTTCCACGGCTTGCACAAAAAGTGTGTTTGAACGCTTAGAAGAGGTATTTGATGAAAACTAAAGTAACCTTCCTGATTGTAATACAAATGTCTCTATGCATGCAATTGTGTCTGGACATGTGTGCTTGTGTTGTTGTGCAGACACTGGAAGAGTTCCTGTTTCAACTGTTGTAATTTGCTTGTTGATAGGGCGGTTGATTACTTGGTTTTCTACATGGCTTTTTATGTTTTCACCTGCTAAAAATTGTGTGATGTCTACTTCTTGTTGATTGTTGTCCTCTCAGAGCTGCACTTGGAGGATCTTTCATGCTAAGTTTTGGGTTTATCATTTCTTAGCTGTCTTGAGTATATTTATCTTGTAATTCACTTGTTTAAATCAGAGATGCATAGTTTGAGTTATCTTTTAGAATACCAAATAGAAAAAAGAAATGTATTGTCACGACCCCGAACCTGCCCCCATAGGTTAGGGTCATAACCAGCCTGTAATCATGAGATTGCCTACAGTCTTAGACTAAAATCAAGTCATATTTAATAATAGCGGGCCAGAAGCGGAAGCAGAATAATAGATTTTGTCCAATGAGCTGTGCATATATGGCATAACAAAAACTTTTCACTTATGTAATAACTCAAACCCAATAGAACATAAAAGATTATACATGTCTAGTAGCATTTAGAAACTAGCAAACCAAAAACCAAGGTTTATATATAGGCCTAGTCTTACATGACCATCGAAAGTAAGCAAAAGAAAATCAAAACAAAAGCGTCGTCCTTGAGGCAACCTTGACTGACTCCAAAATCTCGGTAACCTTCACAATCTCACTAAGGTTGGGGTTAGACATTCCGCTGCTCACTTACATACATATAAATACGGAGTGATTTAAAGTTCAATAAATAATACCAGAGTAAAGAGGCTAATAAATGAGATTCGTATATAAATAAATTATACTTATAATTGAAATATTTGAACTACTATTCTCATTCATAGTACATCAAAATCCATAAACTATACTTGTAGATCAATATCAAATCAAATGACCTCGGATGTAGTGCATCATATCTATATACAAAACGACCTCAGGTCCATTATATGCAAAACAACCTCGGGTCCGTCTATACAAAACGACTTCGGGTCCAATACTTATTCATACACCGTCCTCAAGTCTAATGGATCCATATATAAATGATCACCGCTGCTTCATATCATAATACCAAACGACCTCGGGTCCAACATTCTTATATTCATATTTATCTGCATATTCATATTCATGATCATGATCATATCCGTAGTCATATTCAAAACGACCTTTGGTCCAATCAATTCCTTATTCAAAACGACCTTTGGTTCATTTAACAATCATACAAAACGACCTTCAATCCAATTCATATATAAGATGACATTTAGTCTTATCTTGTTAAACATTCCAAATGGCCTTAGGCCTAATCCGTATCCTTGTCAAATATACCAAACGGCCTTAGGCCCATTTCATATTTTTGATCAAACATACCAAATGGCTTTGGGCCTATTTTGTTTTCATACATCAGTTACTTTACAGATTCTATTACGAATCAAACAGATAGAATAATCATTCATAGTATAAATTCATAAGTTCATAAACTTACCACATAGGTAACATTTAGAAAATAATACATATACAAAAATATTTTTACTAAGATATTACTCACAGTGTTCAAATGCTTGATTTGTCCTTGCAATTAACCCTACATAATTCACAACACATTGGGTCATAATATAATTTAATCTGTTCTTTAGTTTGCTTAATTTCTCAGGCTTCTTTCGTGTTCTTTAATTCATTTGGAATGCTCAACGTATGCCTAAGAATGCTCAGAAATGAAGGAGAACATCAATTGGAACATAAAACAACTTTTCAAAATTTCCTGAAATAGGACACTTTGCTCGAGCGACCCCTTGGTCTGCAAAAGTATTGGATGCTTCATTTTTACGCTCGAGCTCAATTTTGGTCGCTCGAGCCAATGCTAAAAAATGTGAGTGGTCACTCGAGCAGTACTTTTGTCGCTCGAGCCAACCTTTCAATATCTGCAAAAGTATTGGTTGCTTGCATTATATGCTCGAGCGGTAACTTCTTCGCTCGAGTGGTGAAGTCGAATTTTAGAATTTCCAGAATTTATTTGAGCTTCAAACACACATTCAAGGGTCCAAATTTATGCATGATTCACGCAAATATGTAAGAACATTCTCAATTATATATATATTTGGAGCTAATTTTAACCCATGATTCAAAATTTCATAAATTCAACCAAATTCAAACTTTGAACTACTTGTAAGCAACGCATGTTTTTATATCTTGCATATGTAAGCTTCAAGACTTAAAATTAGACTTCAATACATGATAATTTGTGTCAATCAACCCTCAATTTAACATGATTAACATACTTTATGCTCAAATATGCAAAAATCATGGCAAATTCTTACATGCATGCATCTATTAACTTCAAATTCAACATTGTCAACTTAATTCTTGTTCTTAGTCATATATTATGTTTGGATTCACATTGTTATGAACTTAAACTTATGAATTAGAGCTCAATCACTTACTTAGAGCCATCAATTCCTTCAATTCTAGTTAATTCTTGAATCTAGCTCTTGAATTTCCCAAGCTTGAGTTCAATTCTTCAAGAACAGCTCCCTCTCTCTCTAATTCTCACTTTTCTCTCTCTATGGTGTATAAATTCAGCCAAGTAATGAAAATGAGCTCAATGTCTTGAGCCTAAGCACTAATTATATATATAGTGGTGATTAGCTTAAGCTAATTAACTAAGGATTAGTCTAATTAACCAAGGCTCAATTATTTAATTTAATCTAATTATTTTGATCTGAATCGTTTTTTTAATCAAACTTCACCATATGCTTTAAAAATCATGCCAATCACAATGGTATAATCAATTTTGGTTTCTGTCGCCTTTACGACTCTCAATTTCAAATTATAACCAATAGTAGAACAGATTTCTCTACGGTGAACAGATATAAATTCAATAACTTATTTAATCACACAACTAACACCAATAAATCATATTAAGTACATAATCACAAGTATAGTTAAGATTAGCATTATAACACAGAATGGGGTCATCACGTTAGTATTAAAAAAAAAAAATCTATTTTTAAATTATTTTGTACCTTTAAAAAGTAATTATGTATAAATAATCTTTATTTTTATATTTGATAAATTTAAAATTTAAATATAACATTCGTGATTCAATGTGGCTATAAAGAGTTATTCTGCTTTTATAAAAAAAAGAAAAAAAAAAGAAAAAGAAAAAGAAGTAATTCTACGTATTCAAGAAAAATATTGAATATTAATAAAATTATTTAGAAATGTCCATGTCAAGAACAAATCATATGTGAATAAATAAAGATATATGCATTTCTAAACAATATTTTGCAAACTTTATACTGAGTATGTAGAATTACTCACCATTAAAATACAGAACATCCTAACAATTTGTACCTCTTATTAAAATTAATTTGTGGAAGAAAAGAAAATACTGTACTTTTCTTTTTGCCGTTTTGTTTTCCCCTACACATTACATACTATTTCTATGTTTTACTTTGTTCTTGACGAATAAGATTATGTGATTGATTTTGCTTGAAGTTCTCTATTATGCCTTATTTTGTTTTTGAAGAATAAGATTATGTGATTGAGTTTGCTTGAAGTTCTCTATTATGCTGATTCCAACAAAACAGTTTTGTTTATGGTGTGTCTAGTTTTCTTCTTGGTCTAAACTTGTGGACTATGGATTATTCTTGAATCATAATGTACTGATTGAGTGCTGCAAATGTTGTTGGTGTTGTGTCTCTCAGGAACAGCAATTGACCAAGGGATCGCATACGCGCTGATGTTGGTGGCGTTGGCGCTCACATACCTCATCCACACCTTGGATGCCCCCTTAAACTTGTAAGGTAACTGATGACTAGTGGAGTGGGAGCTATGTATGCATTAGGAAAGGGGTTTTAAGTTGGTGGTTTGCTTGGGACATGAAATGAGTCTTTGTGGTGTGTAGTGTTCTGACTTGAAAATTGTTTTATTTTGTGGCTATTGCTAACTTCATACTGTGTTTTATTTGTCAATTTAATTGTCCTTTTAATCACAACTTTTTTTTCCCTTACAATTCTATTAGTATATTGGCTTATCTATTTATCCAGACCTAATCTATGAGGCGCATATGCTACCTGTATTTGTGTTCTTCATCACATGGTGGGAATATTTGTGTAACGTGGATGAATCACAACTTTGTTCTTCTGCACATGGTGGGAATATTTGTGTAATGTGAATGGAATCACAACATCAATTAAGGAATGGATTAAAGGGTAAACAACAAAAGTTCACTATGTTGAACCAGTTGAGATTGTATTTTTAATCTTTGATTTGTAGAAGGAAATTTTTTTTGATCTTTTTCACTTTTTTCATTCTTTTTTCACAAATTTTTTTAGTTAAATCTTCTCAAAATCAATAAAAATTTCACTAAATGATTTGTAATTATTTTGAGAACAGTGTTGATTTCAATTCCCCTTTAAAATTCAAACAGAATATTAGTTTTGGTCTCCCAACAACATAGGACCCAATTAAGCCATAGTTCACAATATAGTTTTAGTAGTTCATTCCGATACTAAATGAAACATCCAACTAGTGGAACACTGTCAACTCTGAATCTCTAATTTATTTATGGATCTCTAAGTTGAGTTACAACATAAACAATTTGAAAAGTATAATCTCAAGAAAAGTCGCCTATCCAAATTACAAGGAATGAAGAAACCAAGTTTCTCATCATAAACCATCCTTCTTGCCCATTGACTCAACTTTCCCTTGGCTTTGTTCCGTCAGAGTGAGTTTCTTCACTTTCTATAGAGATAAAACAAAAGGAATTAACAAAACCAAGTAGAGAACAGCAGTTTTATACATACACAGAAAAATTATTAGGGCCAGAAAAATTAAGACAAATTTATTTATTCCATTATTAGGGCCAACTATACTTGTATATGTTTTAACTCATTTTTTTCAATTGGGCCTAACCACATTTGTGACTAAATGTTTTTTTTAATTGAGCCCAACACAGTTTTTTGAAATCCTGTAGACAGAATGTAAATCAACAAAAATAAATTGGACCTATTTAAATGTACTACTAATGAATTTGGGGCTCTCTATTTTGAGGCCAAATTTTACGACCTAAAGCATAAACCTTAATGGCCTTAGCCCAAGCCGGCCCTGATGTCTCAACCCAACTACTTTGCAATGCTTAATTCATGTATCGAGAAAGAAGGGCTATAAAAGACAATGCCGGCTGTAAAGTGGAGGAAAGTGTGGTTTCTTCTTGTCAGTTCACTCAATGTCAGTGTCAAGATGTGAGCAGAGCCAATGAAAGTAGGTCATGCTATAGAAATGTTTGTTGAATCAAATGCAAGAAAAGATGGCATCATGTTGGGAACTGATCACCCCAACGGCCATGAACAGAAGAGACACAACTCTTTAGAAAGGTATGACTCGAATCCATTCATATACTAAAAATATAGACAGTTCTGTGCATTACATTGCATTAGTTCCACCCAACAGTGAATCTCTCTCCCTCTTGTGTGATACCCAACCAATTTCAGTGTCTATGGGACCATCAAGTTAAAGGGGAATGTGGATAGCCTATCATCATCATTTAATGAAAACTGAAAGAAGCTTGAAGAGAGAAGGTTTTGGTTTGCATTGGCCATGCCTTTGAGTTTATCCATTCTTTTTTAGATTTACTAAGCAAAAAATTATGTAATCATAGGCCCTGAGCAAAGAGAGAAATTTTCAGTCCATTTGGATTGAGAAGTTTGTTGAGAAAAGAAAAGAAATAAAGAAAGAGAAAACTCTCATTACTTGTTTAGATGGTTGACGAGGTGAGAAATTGAGAGAAAAAGAATTCTATTGAAACTCACACCAAAATTGGCAAGATTTGGCGAGGAACGAAAATTGCATTATGTTCACCATGATATCGGTATAATATCTCCCCTCAAATAATTCTTTTTATTCTTTTTGGTATCAGAGTGACTTGGTTTGTGCGCCAAAGAGGGTGGCTTAGGTGGTTCACATGGTATATCACTATACTCACCATGATATAGGTATAATATCCCCCTCAAACTCAAATAGGTTTGAAGATAGAAACCGATTTGAGGTTAAAACAAAGGGAAAGACAAATTGGAGCAGAAACACACACAAACAAAAAGATTGCGAGTAAAAAAAATATGATAGAGATATTTGGGATAGGAATAAGCTAGTGGATAGAGGAATAGATCACCACGAAGTGATACTAAAAAGAAAATATGATAGCGAAATGGGTTGAGGTCCGGCGGACGGCCAAGACAAGACTGCCGCCCGTCGGTGAAGCGAAATTACTAGGTACTTAACCTAACTCTGATACTAAAAAGAATGAAAAGAATTATTTGGCTTACTCATGAATAAAGTAGAGGCCATATCTATATAATAGATTTATGATACAATTTAGGAAACGATATAAATAAGAAAATAATACTAAATCAGTGATTGACACAATCATAGATTATATACATAACACTAAAAATAAAAAGATTCTATGTACTCTAATTTCTATATTCAACACTCTCCCTCAAGCTAGGAATGGCAACGAGCCGGGTCAGGCCGGAGATTACACTCCCCATCCTCGATTCCCGAATATATGAAATTCCCCGTTCCCGCCCCCGATCCCCAACGGGGAACCCATCACCCCCCCTTCCCCCCCCACCACGCCCCCTAACTGGGATTGGGTTTCCCTGACCCCGAAAAATCCCCGACAACGTCCAGATCTGAGCCAGATCTGTTCAACAAGAAAAAAAAAAAAATAGATAAAAAAATATATGTTAACAACAACAACATTTTCATATTCAGATCTGAGCCTTGAACACAGACAGCAACAACATTATCATTTTCATCAACATCAACATCAACATCAATATCATCAACAACATGTATTAATATGATGACACAGAGAGAAACAAATGATTATATATATATGATTAATAGCAACACACACATATATATATATATATATATAGATCATGACCAAAATATTTATATATATAAAGATCTGCATGACTACAAGATATATATACACTCATACAACATATATAGACAAAAATAAAAAAGGAAATGGAAGGGAGATATTGGTGAAAACGAAGAGAGTTCAGTGAGGGGAGAAATAAGGGGTGAGGGGCAACAAAAATCCAAAGGGGTGAGGGGAGTGACAAGTTCTGAGAGAACAAAACAAGATTTTATTTCCACTCAAAGAACTGAAAGAGAAAGAGTTCCCCTCCAAAACATGGGAAAGGGCAATTTATCAAGACATCTAGCTCACAATAAAGTTAGGGTCTGATGGAAATGACAAAAGGGGAGAGAGAGAGAGAGATCATTATAGCATTCAATTCAATCTATATCCCAATGAGAGAGATGATGATAACCCTTAAGGGTAGTCATCTCTCAACAACCAATGGGATTGTGAGATGCTATGAAGCATGCTTCTTTGAATTTACTCTTTCTTGAGTTTCTTATACCCTGCATCATGTGTACTTCAAAAAAATGCCATACCCATACCCAGTATATATTGGGTACTAATACTTTGCAAGGTACTTCACATGCATATCGGGCATTCAACACATGAACCCACATTAGTACCTAGTATATACCTAAGTCGTACCTTAACCGGAATAGTATTTTCTTTCATGTAGATATGAAGTTAGTTTCACTGGATTTTTTTTTTCATGGTTAACATGATTTTAATTGGTTTTTATTTGTAAGTTATTTAATTTAATGACATTTAATTTTGGTTTATACCTTACTTTTTGCATTAAATGTGAATTGCAAGTTGGCTCCTAACCAACTAAATCATTTAATTAATTTTTGCATTATTTCGAATTAAAAATAAATATTTGTTGTTATGAACTTTCTAGTCATACCTTTACCCTACTTTTTTTTTCTTTTTCTTTTTCTTTGTCTTTCTTTCTTTCTTTTTTTTTAATTAATTTATTTATTTTTTGATAGATTTTACTGTATCGATGTACCCATACTGTACTAGTTCCAA